TACTAAGATGGTACATTGGGACTGCAGTTGGGGTAAGGAAGACGATTCAAATCTTCTCAAGGGTATATATGAGTATGGTATGGGAAACTGGGAACAAATCAAGATGGACCAAGAGCTTGGCTTGTATGATAAGGTATTTATCTTCTCTCTCTCGGTTTGATATTTGAGCCGCGCCATGACAAAACCAACATAATAAGTTTACGACCAGCATGGATCCAGACCAGCCTGCGCAGTTGCGTAGTTTGATCAGGATTTATGCTGTTTGCTTACAAACCCTATAACAAGTAGAGAAACTGACAGCGAACAGCATGAATCCTGATCAGACTGCGCGGATGCACAGGCTGGTCTGGATCCATGCTGGTCACAAACCCACTTTGTTGGTTTTGTCGTGACACGGCTCATTTTATTTCTGAGTTAAACGTGTTTCTATCTTTCTGATGTGATTTAAATTGTATTTTGATTTTGTTGAAGAATACAAAGTTTTCATAACAAGTCATGATTGAGTGACATGAAGATATGGTGACATATAAACATAGGAATATAATAGCCACAACATACTTGAATTATTGTAAGTCATTGCAGCTTGGCATATTATTGTTATGTAAATTCTATGATTTATTTGCTGATTTCATACTTCAGCACAATCCTACCTTATATCTTTACTTAGCATGATGATTGTATCCAGTTAACTGACTGGCTCTGTTGATAATAGATTGCTTTGATTAAATTTCCAGATCAAATGCTTAATATATTAACAGAGCACCCAGCAGTATTGAGCGTTCATCTTGTCAGCCTGCACTTATAGAAGTATAAGTCTGCCAGGTCTCATGTTTTAGACTGTGTAGCGTTTATTTTGAAAAAAACACCAGTTGTTGACAAGAGATGTTTTCATTATTTCAGATTTTACCAGATGGGGATAAAAAACCTCAGGTTAAACAGTTACAAACACGAGCTGATTATCTCCTTCGAAATTTAAAAAAACATTTAGATGGTGGGGGAGGAAATAAACAATGAGAAAAAAAATAAAGGTAAAGCTGAAAGATTTAAATTGTATAAATGGAATAAAATCATAAAAGGGCCAAAAATAATTTAATTATACAATGCCGACGATATGCACAACTCGACATACTAGAATTTATCATTCCTTAGATGGACTTGCACCAGGAGTTTTTGAGGAGGAGTCCGGTATTAACAGCTAGGCCAAACTTCACAGGAAGGGTCCTTTGGTAGTGAACTTTAAAACTTGTTCAAAGAATTTCAGTAAATGCAGAACTTTGGTTGCCTCATGGCAACCAAAAGAAAAAACTTAAAAAATCTTCTTTAAAAAGAAGAAAAGAGCTAGAGCTTAAAATATTTGGCATGAAACATCATCTAGTCAGTGTCATCCAAATTTGTTCAAATAAAAGCCCTGGGGTCAAAATTCGCCCACCCTGGGGGCTCGTTTCCTTATATGTATATAGTAAAAACTTAAAAAATCTTCTTTTAAAAACTTCAAATAGCTAGAGCTTAAGTAACATTTTAGGCATGAAACATCTTCTGGTGGGTGTCTACCAAGTTTGTTCAAATAAAAGCCCTTGGGTCAAAATAAGGCCCGCCCGGGGGAGGGGTCGTTGTTTTTCCTATATATATATATATATAGTGAAAACTTTAAAAACCCAAATAGCTAGAGCTTAGATATTAAGCATGAAACATCTTCAAGTGGATGTCTACAAATTTATTTGTTCAAATAAAAGCCCTAGGGTCAAAATTGGCCCCGCCCCAGTGGGTCATTGTATTTCCCTTTAAGTATATAGTAAAAACTTAAAAAATCTTCTTTTAAAAAAACATAAAGAGCTAGAGTTTAATTTTTGGGCGTGAAACATCTTCAATGAGTGTCTTCTAAGTTTGTTCAAATAAAAGACCTTGGGTCAAAATTGGCCCTGCCCAAGGGAGTTATTGTTTTTCCCTACATGTACAGCAGGGTGAACGTTTCAGTTGTCAAAAATAGCGTTCTTCATGCGTGCGTTTTTTGTATATAGTGTGTGCGTATATTGTGCAACGTGCGTTTGTTGAAACGCTTTCCCAAGCGTGCATTGTTTACAAGCTTTTAACGTATACCGTTTTTCGTGTATCCTTTTCCGTTTATCGTGCGTTTCAAAGCTTGCGTTTGTTATCCCCAGAAACGTTTTGAGTGCGTCTGCGTTTGTCTAAACGTTTATGTACCGTGTTTTGCGTCTGTTACTATTGAGAAGTAAAAGAATATCTTGGATAAATATATTATGTAAAATTCTGGTTTCTTGAACATGTAAAAGATGTTCAGTGTCCCTGTCAAAGAATAAAAATATTATATAAAGAAATATCATTGTGATATTTACATTAAAGTTTTAAAGTTTGTGACCTCGTGGTGAATACTGGTCACATTTCTATATGATGTACACCAAAGATTAGTTTTAATCCTATTTTACATACGCTTAAGATTAAATTACTATTTAATTGCAATATTTTTGATATTCAGCAAACAGGTCTTTACATGCGTACCAATATATCCGATATGACGTACTTCAGGGGTGCGTTTCATAAAGAATCGTAAGTGTAAAACATAAGACTAAAGTTATGACTGGAATAAAATTGCACTTAGGAGCGTTTCAAGAAACTGTCCTAACTCTTGTACTTAGGATTAGTCCAAACTTTTTACTTAAGACAAAATCTTCCTATTGGAGATAGAAACATTCACTTGTTCCATATCCTGTAATATTTCATTGTCATGTGAAATAGTGTAGAATGGCGGATGATTACATATAAAAAGGCTGTAAAATTGACATTTTAACATTAATATTTCTTATGTATTAACTAAGAATGTATACTTCATATCATTAATGTTATATTTGTAACCTTGAGCACTAATAATTTTCTTACTTTCCTTTAAAATCATTCTTAAATTGTATACTTTCTTGAAAAAATACTCCATATTTTACTCAAATGTAAAATATCCTCTAAATATTTATGAGACAAATATCAATTCTGAGTGAATTATTGTAGAATAATGCTCCTAGTATAAATATACTAATAAAGTCCAATTGCGGAGTTATTCATTACAAAGCATTTAAACAATTAACCATAGATCTACATCATTTTACTGTACTGACAGTAACGTAAGAAAAGATAATATCTCATTCTAACATGGTAATAAAAAAAGATAATCAATAAAAACATGTTGAACATCATTAAGCATAGAAGTAATTTATCTTACGTCATTTGGTTTATATGACGTCATATCTGACTTTATATTATGTGTTATCTTTCCTTTTTCATGCCATGCATAATTTTTTATGTCTAATGCACTTGACTGCCTTACTGTATCTATTTATATAGGGGAATAATGTGAGGTGTGTTTGAATTTTATGTAAATTTTAAAAATTACTGAATCTTGAAAATGAAACATACGCCAAACTAAGTCCGGCAAAGCCATATCAGTCACAATGTCAGTCATACACTACATGAGTAGTATGGATTTTCTTTACTAATTAATAAAACCTATCAATATACTGGTTAGCAAATATGAACATGTTTATTTTAACAAAAGTTACCTTAAACATATTTTATTAAGTCCTATACACGTAACCAACACTTATTATTATTCATATTAAATCAGTATAATTATAACAAATATTTATTTAATATTACAGGTATTAATATCCTTTTCTTCACTTATGCCCTTCATTTTATCATATATATCTTTACCAGAGAATAAAACAAGAGCTGCAATGATTTTTTCAGCACTTGTTTTTGTATTTATGAGTTAAGACAAAAGTTAGGAGTGCCCTGAGGCACCTATAGGAAAAGTCTTAAGTTTAGTCTTAAAATTGTACTCAGGAGTTTTCTTGAAACGCAGTTTTATCACAGTTTTGCACTTATGACTAAAATCGGTCCTAAGATTCTTTATGAAACGCACCCCAGACATCTTAATTATGTGATGGTAATCAGATTAGGAATCTTGGTCAGCTCGGCCCTAAAACATACTCAGCCCCAGAGTCAGCTCGGCACCTATTCCAACTCGGCACGGGTCAACTCGGCCCACTTTTCAATTAATAATATTTAGGTTTGTGTTATCACTATTTATTGTAATTATTGTAATTTTTTATAATACACGGATTGACAGTTTCCGAACTAGCAGCAGACAGGCTTTTCTCATCAGTAGAATTGTGAGTAAAGATAACCGATTGCGTATCTCACTGTATTTCTGACTTGTGGTAGGTTTAACCGTCAATTTAAATACCTTCAGTGTCAAATAATGTATTGAAATATATACTGAGAGGAAGCTAAGATCACCAGCTTTTAATTGATGGAATAAATTTTAAAATCGGACATTTAATTGCCCCAAAATAGCGATTAACAAGGCTAAATTTGCATTCTTTTGCAAGCGAAGGGAAACTAAGGGAAACAAGTCTTGTTTTTTTTTTCACTCGATTTACCTTGGTTATTTATGCTTACATAAAGAGACAGACAGAGAGAATTTATAAATATAAAAAAGAGCAAACAGTGCTTTATATTACATTTATTGTTGCAAAATTATAATACAAACAGGTGAACGAGTGAACAAAATCAGGATATACTTCGAGTACAATGTATCAATTAACAACATATTTTATTTACACAAAAATACAAAAAAGTAACCTCCACATGACATAATCATCATCAACAACAAGATATGTACAATACTTCTCCTATGATATTAAACATTTAATGACTAACTGTACAGACAAATATGATTAAAACAAGACAAAACAAATATGAAAATCAAATATTTTAGACAAATATAAATTTTTTGTAAAGTGGGCCGAGTTGACCGGTGCCGAGTTGGTATAGGGCAGAGTTGGCTCTTTTCCTCAGACTAGCACCCCCCCTCCCCCTTTACCAGTTCATCTTCTGACGTTTCATCAGACTGTCCGAATCCTATTAAGGGTGATAATTATTTTGGACAGTTTCTTCCCATTTTTCTTAACAGATTTATATTGATATAATTTAACAGCCTGGCAGGGACTCGAACCCCTGACACTCGGAATACCATTCTGCGGCTCTTCCCTCTCAGCTATTCGGTCAATTACACATTTTATGTGTTTAAATACTGAATAGTTTTAAAACCTTCCGTGTATTTCTTCGAATTTCCCGGGGTTACTAATTAGCAATGTGAATTAAATTCTAGGTGGGCTATATGTCAGTCACAGAATTGAATAAAAGAGTTTATAGGTACACACATTTGTGTCCAGACTGTAACTTTGTCATGCATAAAAGGATTTTAGAATAACTAAGCATAAATGTAAACCACATTAACATGTCATATTCAAGACCCATGTCAAGGTCAAGGTCACACTTATAGCTTGAAGGCACTCATTCCCTCAAAAAAGTTTGATGATACACATTCATGTCTTGACTGTAACTTTGTCATGCATGGAAGGATTTAAAAATAACTTGTCACAAATGTCTACCACATCAAGACGATGTGTCTTGGCTAAGGCTCATGTCCGTCTGTCTGTCCCCACTTACACAACAATTATGTCCAGACAGAACATTTGTCCTGCATTGAGGGATTTTGAAATATCTATGTGCAAATGTCTATCACATGACTATGTTGTGTTGCGTTTGAGAGCCACGTCCCTTTTCAAAAGTCAAGGTCACACTTAAATTCTGAAGGTTCACACTATCACAATTAGAGATTGTATAGGTACACATATTCATGTCTGGACTATAACTTTGTCATGCATCAAAGGACTTTAAAATATCTTGGCACAAATGTCTACCACATCAAGATAATGTGTTTTGTATAAGACCCATGTTCCTACCTTTAAGGTCAAGGTCACTCTTATAGTTTGAAGGGTCACATTAGTTTCCAAACTGTAACATTGTCATACATTGAAGGATTTTAAAATAACTTGGTATAAATGTCTACCACATCAAGTAGTGTCACATCCAAGGCCGTTTTCCCAAGGTTCAAAGTTTGCTTTAAGTAGCTCAGTGACTTTATTTCACAAGAACAATATTAAGCAATTAGTTACTTTCATTCTCTTTTCTTTTCATAATTAACCTGCCTGCTTAAGAAAACTTTTTGGGAGCATTCGTCACTTGTGTGACGGCTCTTGTTCCAATGTTATATTTGACTTTCAGTTCTTTTAGACAATTATCCATAATCATCCTGGACTTCATACGAAATGAAAATATTTCAACTACATTATTTAGATGTTCAGACTTTATATCACTTTAATAAATAGAACATGTATTTTTCAACATCCAAAGAAAATTAGTCTTTATCAGTAAAATTATGACTTTATAATATGTCAGATGATCAGAATCAATTTAGAATTCCAGTTAATTTAATTAATTAAATTAAAAGTAAAAATAAAGTTAACAGTAATTTTGCTTCTTCAAATATATAGAATAACAATTATATAAATAGTGTAATGTTTCAATGAATCTATAATTTCACTGAATTTAGATGTACATTTGCACGATATAGTGTAATAACTCACAGCATTAATACTTACTATTTGT